GGAGAGGGTGGGTGCGTGTTGTGCACTTAGAGAGTCTTGTGGGAGGACCGTGATTCGCGGCGGTGTGGCGGATGTGGTGGTGTGTGGGGGGGGGTTTTTGCCGCGAAGGGCAGGGAGCGAGGTGTTTCAGTTTGTTGTGGGAACTGTGGTGCATCGACTCACCGTTGGGCTCGTGGAACCCTCGCGCGACACTCAGGCGCGTGCGCTGGCACGGCAGAGCCGGTGAGGGAAGCTTGAGGAGCTGCGTGTTCTCTCCGCGATGGACGTGGGCTGCCGGGCGGCTGGCGGATGCGGCTAAGCGAGGCATCCGATGTCATTTGCCTGGCAGACAACGAAATGTGGCTCCGCTCTTGGACAAATGTGGGATTTTTATTTGTCCTTCGTGTTGCTTCCTCCTTTCCCGTGAGACACGCCGCACACCCAACGCCCACACACCGTCGTTCCTGCTTGCATATCTCCTGCGGGCTCGGCAACTCTTCGCGGGCGCGTGCCCTCCACGAGGAATGCGCACCCATTCCCGGTTCCCGGAACTGTAGTTACATCCACCGGAGCCTGGGGGCTACACTGTTCTCCTCCCTCCCCTTTTGTGTGCGTGTGGGGTGCTGGGTGCTGCTTCACGACCGTGTGTGTGTGTGTCCCTGTAGTGCGGCACATGTATTTCTCTCTTCTTGTTGTTGTTGTCCTTGCCCCACTGTGTGGATTGTCTCACACACTCGAGCGACTCTACGACGAATGATGATGGTAACTGTGCGGCACTGCGTGGCGTGCGACCTGCTGGTCCTTGCGCTCTTGTGCTGCTGCTGCTTGTCCGTCTGCAGGGCTGCTGCTCCGGGGGTGCAATCTCCCACTGCGTCGAAAAAACCATTGGCTGATGTGGTAGTGTTGTGTCCGGGGACTGACGGTAATTTGCGTTGGCGATTTCAAGGCGAGGAGGACTGGCGAAAGTGTGCGAGGAGGCCCGAAGAAGCCCCGGAAGACAATGGTTACTGCGCACGGCTATGCAATTTCGCTGGAGATGTATACAAGGAACCCGAAATTACCAGACTGTGCAATTCTGCGAATAATACGAGTTTTGTTGCCTTCCATATGTCATTTGAGAAGCACGAGGATCTAAAAACCTGCAGTTTGGGGGAGGCACCCGAAGCTTCCAGTCAGTCGTCCTCCGCCTCATCCGGCGACGCCACCACTGTGTGGGTGCGCACGCCTCTGCTGCTGCTGCTGCTGCTCGTCACCGCCCTTGTCTGTGCTGCTGTGCGGTGATTAGGATTAGTCATGCATGTCCTTGCGGGGACGGCTCGTACTGTGTGTGTGTTTCCTTTTTTCCTCTTTCTTGCTTTGTCACCCACACGCGGTGCCGGCCTCACTGCTGCGCGTCCCACGGACTGCACGAACGAGGATTGGAGGAAGAGGCCGGATGCCGCATGAAATGTGAGGAATGTTGTGTGGGCTAGTGGAATAATGCGATCCTTTTATTATTATTACATTTTTCGTTTGTGCAGGTAATATGTGTGCGCACCCGATCGTCTTTGGCTGCATGGCATATGAAATTCCTGCCGAATCAATTTTCTCTTTTTTCCTTTTTTGCTTTCCGTGAGTCCTGCAGAAGTCTCACCCTTTTTTTCGTTTCATTTTTTTCTGTTTTTTTTTTGTTGTTGTTGGTAATTCCCTGCGGATATGTTTTTGTCCCTGCCGTGTTGACTGTTACTTTGTGTCTTCTTGTCCCGTTTCCCGCCGCTGTCGGCTGTGCTTATGGCATGTCCCCATTTCCTCTGCTTTCTTTCCTGCTAGAGGCACCGATGGGCCGCAACGACGATTGTTTGCGCTCCCCTCTGCGATGGCACGAGGGTGACTGGGCGCCGGCCTGCTGAGCGCACCCGGAGGGGAGCGGACGGTGCGCGCGGTGCTCCGTTTGTGAGTTTGGGACGCCACCCACCGCCCCGTCTGTGGCCCAGCCGTCGAACTCCTCTTGTGGCTGTGTGCTGGCATGCCCCTCACTTTTGTATTTTGTTGCTGCGGGTGCGGATGGCAAGGCACAGGCAAAAATGCACTGTTAGGGCGCTGCGGCAGCGCCGCTCCCCTCGGCGATGCCGGTGCTGTGTGCGGCTGCTGCCTCCCTCCGCGGCGATGGAGGGATGGGGGCCACGGAGGGACCGCACGGCGGTTCTCGCTTCCACTCCCTGTGTGTGTGTGTGTGTGTGTGTGTGTGTGTGTGTGTGTGTGTGTGTGTGTGTGTGTGTGTGTGTGTGTGTGTGTGCGGCGGATGAGGTCTCCATCTATTCCTCACCAGGACGGAGGAAAGGAAAGGGTCACACAACAATAGAAGGGAGGAATGAAGGTAACGTGGAGGGGGAAATGATGGACCGAATATGTGTACACAGGCTGGAAGGGAGTAAACGTGGTCGAGAGGGATGGTAAGGAAATAAAAACAAATAATGCATAGGAGGATAAGGAGGAGGAAAGAGGGATAATTGTGCATACCGCATATATAATATGTACATTGCATGTATTTATGTGTGCATTTATACACATGTGTGTCTTGACTCTCCTGTCTTTGTTATTTGTTCCACACGGCATTAGAGAAGAAGCGTTGGGGAGGGTTTGAAGGAGTCTCTTCTTCCTCTTCCCTTTTTATTCTTCTCAGGGTGTGAGGATGAGGCGGCGGCGCGCCCATCTTGGCTTTGTTGGCGTATTGCGTCCCGTTCTATCTGCTCCTGTCGTGTTGGCGCTTCTTACCTTTCCGTTCATTGTGTGGACATGACAAACTGATCCTGAGCCTGCTCTGCCGTCGCAGCCGACGGTGAGCAAAGTGATCGCCCCTGCTGCCGCTCAAGGCAACATTCATGAGGACTCGTTAACAGTAGTGGTGGTGTCATATCCAATGACGAGGCGACGAAATTGTTTGTTGCATGTTTTGAAGGCCACTCTGTATGATTGGCCGAAGGATGAGAGTCTTGTCCATGAGGTGCTGCTCGTGTGGAATGGCGTGAAGGAAACGGTGCCAGACGAATTGCTTGCGTTGAAATCGAGGCGCGGCAACCACCCAATTCCGTGGCGAATCGCTGGCTTGTCGCCTCTCTTCTCCGCACCGAGGCTGTGCTCAACATCGACGATGATATGAACGTGTCGTATGATGCGGCACGGTGCATGTTTTCAATTTGGTTGCGATCCCCCTCTTCGCTTGTGGCGACAGACGTGCGGGCCATTGTTGACTGCGGCAAAACAATGTAGCAGCGTAAGTACAACCTTTCGTTTGTT